TCAACCAATATTAAAAAGTCAAGAAGATATTAAAAAGAGACTCGCGCCTCCCATAGAAGCTTTACCCCATAAAGATCCTCCAAAACCGATAGAATATGGTGGTTTTATAATTAGGACATTAGATGATATAAAACATTATTTTTCAAATCCAAACCCAAAGAGCATTACACCAATAGTTGAGAATGAAGAGTTGTTGTTTAATGGATTTAGAATAAGATTTGGTGGAAATTCACCAATATTCAAAATCGATACAAAAGACTTTATATTTACATTAACAGAAGGATTAATAGATTTAAAGAATGGCGGGGATGTTGATATTGCCGATTATAAGGATTTTGTAGAATACTCAGAATTTATACATACGATAAGAAAGACGGGACCCGAAACAAAAAGATTAAAAGAAGTTGATCAATATATAAAAGCTATTATTAATCAAGATGATGAATATGCTGAAGACAATCCAATCATACAAGAAATAGACGAATTGGAAGAGAAGATAGCTAGAGAAAAATGTGTACAAGGTATAACGTTTTTATCCGACAACAACGAGGATCTACTTAATATAGATTATAGATAATACTAGCAGCCATGAAAGAAGGTCATCGTTCAGACAGACAATATAATGAAGTAAATTGTATATTGAAAAGACTCCTAGAGAAAGGTATCATAGATAAAAAATGATTATGAAAGCGTGATTGATAACATTATCCAATAAATATTGTCATTGAAAAAATGCCAAATAAAAAACAATTATTCGTTATCACCTCAAATAAATCAGACATTAAATTGAAATTCACCAATATTCAAAATCGATACAAAAGACTTTATATTTACATTAACAGAAGGATTAATAGATTTAAAGAATGGCGGGGATGTTGATATTGCCGATTATAAGGATTTAGTAGATACTCAGAATTTATACATACAATAAGAAAGACGGGACCCGAAACAAAAAGATTAAAAGTTGATCAATATATAAGAGCTATTATTAATCAAGATGATGAATATGCTGAAGACAATCCAATCATACAAGAAATAGACGAATTGGAAGAGGAGATAGCTAGAGAAAAATGTGGACAAGGTATAACGTTTTTATCCGACAACAACGAGGATCTACTTAATATAGATTATAGATAACATTAGCAGCCATGAAAGAAGGTCATCGTTCAGACAGACAATATAATGAAGTAAATTGTATATTGAAAAGACTCCTAGAGAAAGGTATCATAGAAAAAAAATGATTATAAAAGCGCGATTGATAACATTATCCAATAAATATTGTCATTGAAAAAATGCCAAATAAAGAACAATTATTCGTTATCACCTCAAATAAATCAGACATTAAATTGTCTCTAGATTATGAGTACGAACTCGATCGCAATGAAGAATATGAATTGGGATTAAAATATTTCTCTGTTTACAATTCCATTAGAAATATCAAAGAAAATAATAACCAAATGAAAATATCAACAGATAACGGAACTACATTCAAAACCACAAGTTTACTACCAGGAAGCTATGAATACGTTGCCATAAACGAATATCTATCTGAATATGGAGGAAGTGCAAATGGTAGAAACAATATTGAATTCGAAGATAATTTGAATCTGAACAAAATAAAATTGATATTGAGAATAAGAGTCGATAAGTTGATTTCAACGTAGAAAATTCTTTGAATACTTTATTAGGATTTGATAAGCAAATATACACACAATCCACTTTGGCACCACATAAAGCTAATATCGAGTATGATATCGACGTCATTAATATTCACTGTAATTTAATAAACGGTTGATTTCCAACATTCACTGTACCGATTGGATACAGAATTATACAGAAACCATTTCAAACAACATATTTACCACTTAATTCGTTCATGATTAAAGATATAAATCTGGAAATCAAAGATGGTAAAAATAGGTTTATTGATTTTGGTAACGAGGAAATTGTAATTCAACTTCATTTAAAACAAAAGAACTAAATTTATTGAGTAATTAATCACTCTTCATTCTCTTCTTGAATATATATGTAATCGAAATCATCAAATTCATAGTTTTCATCAAAACTATACTCATCTTTATCACTATAAAGATACATAATTCCTTCACTGATTGGTGGTTTTCTCTTTACAAAATTCAAATAACTTTTAAAAACTTTCTTTTGTTTATCATCATCCTTTGGAATAACTATACCATTCGTGAAACTCCTTTCCCCTCTTTTGTTAAATTCATTCGACACATCATGTCCACTAGCCAACCGAATATAATCTTCTACACTTGTCTTATTATTAGAATAACCCCTAAACGTTTTCTTTTCTTTTAAGACACCATCAGAAGTTGGAATGATATTATATTTGACTTTTGGCGCTAAATATAATCCAAATATGATTCAACCATCACCGTAATCATTCTTGCCCTTACAGTATTCATTTTCAGATACCAACCCAGCTCGATTTAATTTATCCCAATTTCTCGATGAAATGTATAAACTATCAGTATCGGTATAGTATATTTCAGGTTTATAAAATCCATTTATTACATGAATGAAATTATTCATT